TATCCAATTCTTACCATTTTTGTTACACTACGAGAATTTTATCTGAATTATGGTACAGATTTCGCTATATCGCCCGTGTATAAGACCGTAACTTTAATAATTAATTTCTGGAAAACTATGTAGACGAATCACCTGAGATTTTGCAGAGATTCGTAATATCTCTTCGTCAATAACCTCAAAAAATTTCAGCGATTTCTAACCATTTTGCGTTAGCTGAGCAACCTCCTTAACTACACGGTTCTCGGACTGAGATCTCGATCCAAGATCTAGCACAAAAATTATGTTTACGTTCATTGATCGCGCACACTTACACTGACAACTTTGCCATGTTTACGCGCACTCGGCGGTAAACCGAGCTTTCGGAAGTCGTCGGTAATAATGTAATATCGGTAATGTTACGCGTCGGTAACATCGGTAATGTCAGTCACGTCAGCAGCGCCAATGCCACGTTGCGGCAGAAAAGTGAAAAGGACTGTCGACCAAGACGACGAAGACGGTTCTTAATACGTAATCCTACGTAATCTGCCCAACATGCGGACTTTGCATTGCAATATCTCCACTCATGGGGCACGTAGGAGAAAAGTAAAAACACTTTTATTATGCAAATCGTACCCAAGCTATCGATTAAGCGCAGTCTCAAGTTCGTCGGATCAGCCGTTGTTGAGATCTGAAATTCTGAGGGTCCGTCAACTCGCGTACTCGCGTAAACTACACGGTCGGTGTCGCGCGCGTGGTTTAGCTTGTCGTTTAATTGTTGTCGCTTATACTTGGCGCGAGACACTACCATGTCTCGTGATTACATACACGCGCTGCGGGTTGGATTTTATATGGCCGACATTGCATGGTTTGCATTTTTACACGCGTGCGATGAGTTCTTCGCGGTCATAGCGTGCGTCTCCCCTCTCTCCGCAGACCCAGCTAGGGCGAGAGAGAACGGCAGCGTCGATCGTAACAGGTAATAATAAGAAAGTCACTGTCAACAGCCTGGTTTCGGCGCTTGACCCCGTGACTCATAACAAGGAAAAATAAGAATACGCGTCCAGGTGTTCGCGCTAATTAAAGGCATCCCGGTGATATCTATTACATGTACGCGCCGCGGATCGTCTCGCGCCCCCACGCCGGAGATCGCGTAGCGCCGCGGTCCTCCTCCCTGCGCCGCGGATCGCCTCGGATTCATTCACCTTGATATGAAAGTCGCTGTCAGCAGCCAGGTTTCGGCGCTTGACCCATGACTCATAACATGGACAATAAGAATACGCGTCCAGCTGTTCGCGCTAAAAAGTACCGAAACGAGTGACAGGTCAGCACCTAGATATCTGTTACATGTCACGTAGTGACAGGTCAGCACCTTGCGTGACTTCAGGGTCACTCGCCTTGGAGTACCCCTCCCCGCTTCCCCTCACCACGGAGTACCCCCTTCCCGCTCCCCCTCGCCGCGGAGTACCCCCTCCCCGCCCCGCTCCCCTCGCCTCGGAGTACCCTCCACCCCGCTCCCCCCTCGGAGCCACTGGGTTTAGAACACCCTACTCTCCCCTACTGATGGTACCGCCAGTGGAAAATTATGTCCTTCGTCCTCTGCTAATTGCAACAGAGTCCGTACGGCCAAGAATGGTACGGCCTTTGTCCCGTAGGTGACCGTTGTTAGATGATATGGCACCTCATTGAGCTGATCGTCCATCCAGAGTATCCGCTGTAACTCCCAGTCATCCTTGTGAATTTTGATCTGCCTGTACATTTTGGTGATGTCCGTAGCGAAAATGTGACGATGTCTCCGTATTCATAGGAGAACATCTGAGATGTTCAGATGCAATTTCGCTCCAGTGTACATGAGGTCGTTGACAGAGTAGCCTGATGTGGATGCGCTAGAGCCATTAAAAACGACCCGCAGTTTCGTTGTCGTACTGTCAGGCTTGAGGACACCGTGATGCGGCAAGTAGAAATGTGAGCGATGACTGGAGATGGATGATGCCTTCGTCATGTAGTTGAGTGTCTCGTAATCAATCATGAATTTTTTATAGAGACGTTTATAATTCACATCCCTTGAGAATCGTCTGCGTAATTCTTTGAGACATTGATGAGCGATGTTGTAAGAGTCACCCAGAAGATCCACTGGTGATTTAAGTGGAATCCTGACGACGTACCTCCCTGAAGAATCACAAGAGTATGTAGTCTTGAAGTGCTCTTCGCACCTCTGCTCGTCAGGAGTGAATTGATTGACATCGTGAGTAGGCACCTGCTCTTGAACCCAAAATTTCGTCAATAGCTCATTAAGAGCATCCTCGTTGGATTGAGTAGCAGCATGATGCGTTGATGTGCGTACTGCTTCTCTGTTGACTGGTCCAAGAACGAGCCATCCGAAAATGGAGAGTTGCGCGATCGGCATGAGTGGAGAATGTCTATTAATATTGGGCGTGATGATTTGCCCGTAAACGTCTGCTCCGATGAGGATGTCATGTCCAACGAACATTTTTTCGTGGACGTGTTTAGAAATAGTAGTACTCGTAATTGCCCACCCGATAGGTATCCTTGGCGCGGCGCGGCTGATAACACGCGCGTTACACGTGACTCGCGGATATTCGCTCTCCTTCTTTTCCAAGTTTAACAGTAGAATTAAGCAAGTAATAAACAACAGCCGAGGCAGCCACTGTAATAGACGAATCCTTGTCGCCTCCGCTTTCGCCCAAATTAATAAGAAATTAATAATAACGCAATTAAGCGAACATTAAGCTGACATCTACGATTTCCGTGCGAAGGATAAACTCCGCGGGAACCGTGGATCGCAGCAGCGTGTAAGGGCGTTATGCGCCTCTACCGCGAGCCACGATGGCAATCAGGGCCATTAACAATCGCTGGAAATAAGCGAAATATACCATTTATCGAAATACCGGCGAAGCTTCTAGAAGGTTCGATGTTTACGCGGTTCGACGCGATATAGCGGAACTCTAGGGAGAAAAACAAGGGATCGGTATGCGCATTAATTACTCGGCGACGCACGGCCAAATTAAGATTTGATAAACGGAATAATGATGGACGGAGGCCCTTTGCCAAGGTAACCAAAGCTCAAATTGTTTGGAGCACCGTAAGGTGCAATAATTAGCACATTAAGGGAAATTCTCGAAGGGCCCCCGCTCATCACCACTTCCGCACTTGCCCTACAACCAAACTGTATATAAGCGGGCCATCGAAGCCCGAATTCGCAGTACGTTTTCCAACGTTCCGAAGAGACGAAGCTCTGCCCGACAGCCAAGCCTCAATAGGATAAGGAAAAACAGTAAGGAAAGCAAAAGCTCTGCCTGACGAATAAACCGGCGAAGTAAATCCCGGCAATTAAAGCGGACGAAGTGAAAAGGAGTAGATAAGGTTGCGACGACCTGAGTAAAACGTAAGTGGAATAACTTGGTGACAACTAACTTTAAGTTAAGCTGCTCCCTTTGAGGTAACAATTAACTACTTTTACGCGGAATACTCTGTTGCTCGGTAACAATATTCCGACCCTGCCTCCTTCGGCGATGAAAAACTGCGAACCTCCATAATATTAAATCCACCCTTTCAGATGCGCGCTCGCTACCGGGCGTTCTTCTGATCCTTCTGCCGCCTTGGATGCGCGTTCTTTACGGGGCGTTCTTCCAAGAATTCCCTCCACCCTTTCAGATGCGCGCTCGCTGCCGGGCGTTCTTCTCTGATCCTTCTTCCAAAAATTCCCTCCACCCTTTCAGATGCGCGCTCGCTACCGGGCGTTCTTCTGATCCTTCTGCCGCCTTGGATGCGCGCTCTTTTACGGGGCGTTCTTCGTCGGAACCGTTCCACCAGCCCGGCATTAAGCACCCAGGTCCCATCTTAATTACGTACACCTTCTTCTCTTTTCTGTTTTCCTTACACCTCGTATTTCTTTTTTTTATTGTTTCTCTTTCGCCGTCGTCTCCGTTCCCCGAGTCAGACCCCACAAAAGAAAAGGGGGACTCATCCAGGCAAACCACGACAAATTTTCCCACCTATCATTGCTACCGGCAATTTAACAGGGTCCCCTCGCTGTTAGGGAAACCTCGAAGGGGCACCTGGCACACGGGGAAGTAAGAGAACCAAACAATGCTGTTGCAGATACGCATTTTGGTTGTTCGGAACAAGCTTTGAGCCAGTAAGGGTGCCATTACATGGAGCGCGGAAACGCGGAAACGCGGAAACGCGAAAGAGAATAGTAACTAGATTCCCGCGTTCCGTTCCGTCTGTTTTGATTGCCTTATATTACAT